TATTTCCCAAGATCAGATCGATAATTTGATACTCAGCATGCCTAGGCGTTGTGCGGACTGTATTGCATCGTCTGGGAGACATACAATGTAATATTGGTTTTTTGTAAATAGTTTTTTTTTTTTTTTTTTTTTTTTTTTTTTTTTTTTTTTTGTAATTTGCTCCAGGGGAGGGAAAAATCACTAATTTTTTTAGTAATATCAAACATATAGCATCTTTTTTTGCTCTTTACCTTTTGTTTAATAAATGAGCTTTACAAATAAGTCGAATTTGTTTTGCTTTTAACTCTTCCTTTGCCTGATTTTGCATTATCCTTAATTTATGGACATGAGTGTATTTCGTCTCTTCTTTCCTGAAGTATCTTATAATGCATACTTAATAATATTATATAACACATTCAAGCGAACCAAATGATCACTCCACTAGTACTCAGTATACATGACTGAGAGCATTTGGTGCCTTCACATACACTTATAGTATAACAAAAAGTGTTTCTCACCTTTCCTTCTTTTTCTGTCTTGGTCTATATACATCAAGCATTTCATAGTAAAATCAGCAGTGAAAAATTTATTTTTGTGATACGTTTACACAGCCCTTTCCTTGAGACTTTAAATACTTTTTTGTAGTTGCCCTTTTCCTTGATGCCCTAAGCCCGTACTTATTTTGCTTAGTGGTTAATCCAGCTATGATAGTGGTCTTTCACAAACAACCATGGCGAGATGTGGAAAACTCTTCTCTTAGAGATGATAAGAGAAAGCAGATGATATGAGATTGTATGGCAGAAAATGGATGAGATCCCAAGATGCATGCGATGCGTTACTGGACATCCAGTACCATGTTTTACTGGGCCACATAAAAAGTCTTAGATTTTTTGGTACATTTTTGAACAAAAGTTTTCTTTATTGAAAATCAGTTTTAATCTAGTACATAGTGACCATTATTATCTATGATCTTTTGCCATTTTTCGGGTAGCTTCATAATTCCATCGGCATAGAACTTCTGTAGTTTATCATCGAAAAACTTGGCCAAGTGACTTTCAGTGGTGCTTTGCCTGCCAGTTTTTTACCATCAAGAGAGTTTTGCAGAGACCGAAACAAGTGGTAGGCAGATGGAGCAAGGTCCGGGCTATACAGTGGATGCATCAAAAGTTTTTTGCAGATGAAAACAAGTGGTCAAGGCATGGAAAATTTACAGGGATGCAGCAAACTTCAAACCCTTCCGGTTGATTTTTACAAGTCATCAAAGATGTGTGACCGTGAATTGTCATGATGAAACACAACTCCTTTTTTGTGGCCAATTCTGGCCGCTCGTTTTGGAATGCTTCATTCAAACAGTCAAGTTGTGTACAGTACAAGGCCGAATTGATTTTCTTGGTTCACCAATGGTTGCACAATGCACTAGCTAATCTTTCTTTTCAAAATGATTCCAAACTGTCATGTGGTTGTTGGTTAGTGCATCCACAGTTTCCTGACAGCTTGCATGTCAGTCTTGCTCCACCAGTTGCAAAATTTCATCGACTTTTTCAGTGACTGGTGACCAGAGCCAGGTGCATCTTTGACATCGAAATTTCCGGAACCAAATCGTGCAAACCACTCCTGGATCCTTTGTTCACTTACAGCATTCTCACTGTACACTTCACAAACTTTTGGGCATGTTTTTGCAGCGTTTATACCTTTTCTATAGCAAAAAATCATCACATAGCGTATTTCCTCAGATAATTCACTAGTTTTCAAATCAATATAACTTTATACACGAGCAATGAATTTGAAAACCATCTTCACAAACAATGGAAGCTAAATGTCACCTTTTAAGCACATGTTCGTTTGAGACAATCGGGTGAGTGTTGCCGAATATATAAGCAGTGGCGTAGCTAGGATTGAGTATGGGGGACATCTGTCCCCAGGCACAGCATGCAGTCGGTGCCAGATTGATGCTTCGAAATTTTTTAATTAAATGTTTTCCATTCTTGACGCAAAGAATGTCCCCGGGCACTGGAATCCTAGCTATGCCATTGTATATACGCATCAACACCATCTACAGGCAAGAAACCGTGGAGACATTTTATATGACCCAATATTATGGCTCCAAACTAATCAGATGGTGATTTTTCTCCCTTAGCAACCATTGATGCCTTCTTGTCTATAATACTGGAAACACAAGATCTGAGAAGCTCAACAATGGACTCGAGTTTCACGGAAGATAGCAACACTAGCTAGGAAAACTAAATCAGAGATTGTCCTCCAGTTTCATGGATAAGATAATGAGTCATCAGCAGTCATCCCTCTAATATAATCAAAAAAGGTCCGGTTTGGAGGTGATAGAATTATGGAATTCTCGTTTTGAAGAAGTAAAAATGGTTATTGGTTATATGAAGTCCACATCTCTGAAGGAGATTCATTAATTACAGACCGCTGTTGTGCCAGGGTTTTCCTTTCCCACACGCATTTTTTCTAGGATTCTTCAGTGCTACACTTCATGATATACTAGCTGTCTGATTTGTTGGAGAGTCACATGACTTGTCCTATGCATTCTGAGTTCTATTGATTTTCCAAGTGAATACTTGGGATGTTATCTGCAGACCTTTCAAAGTACATTGTTATCAATGATTCTATAGCCGCAATTGGCCCTATAAAAGGAATGCCTCAGAAATTCGTCGACTATCTTGTACAGAACATGAAGAGACAATGGATGTACAATCACAAACCTTACTGATAATTCCATTTCTGAAGCCTATCATATGGACATTTGGCTTCTGATTCAAATAAACTCCAGATGTGCTTAATCTACTTTTGTATCCTTTGGATTATTCTTGGTCAGTGTGGTAAACTTTTCTCGTTGTTCAATATCTCGAAGGTGTTATGGTATGATTTATACCATTTTAATTGCTGCTTACACATGTGACTTTATATGTGAAAAATCTGGCCTGTGTTTCCCACTATACTCTGACAAGGAATCCAACTATGATATTCGAGTAGGATAATGTAGGCCACAAACGATCATGTAAATATTTGCAAATGAATTTAGTCCATCATTTACAATGCAGTCGTAAATAATTTACAGTTATTTACATGACTTACCTACTTCACGAATGTTTCCAGTCGAGCATAAAGCCCACCAGTAAAATCTGTGAATGCTCGTTCTTCGAGTGGGTTTAAATTTCCGGTGAAGGGCTGGTTGCATGGGAATCCTTAGAAAGGTCCTCCACAAAGGCATCCCTTTCCTTAAGCAGATAGCCCCCACGTACTTTTCATAATGAAGCAGACCAGACCAAACACTTAAAATGTTCTTCACGAAGGCATACCTGCCCTTAGGCAAGCAGCCCTTATCTGCTTTGTTGTGATGAAAATAACGTAACCTAAGTTCTGTCTGGCATGCATGGTCTCAGTTGCCTTGCAGTTCTTGCTATGGAATGTTTCCCATACAATTATTTTGGAGCCTACTCGATTCTATGCCTCAATGAATTGCAGTCAGAATTAATTTCCAAACTTAGAAAGGTTAGAGCCTATAAATCGCCGTCAGGAAAGATACATTAAATAAAAATAATAATTTAAAACATAAAGAAAATGTAAATTCATAAATAAGTAATTAAATTTAACAGCTCTAGTGTAGAATTGGGTGCCCCTTCGATTGGCGACAATTGTTTTAAAATTTTGGCGATGAAACCTCACTTCTGATTACCACAATAGTTTTAACTTTGTTTTAGCTTTCCGATTTTATTTAAATGAAAATAGATTGATGTGTACATGGACATATTTAAGGAAGTGCACAATGCTTAATTTGTGCAATTCTAGGATGTTTTTTTAAGTAAAAACAGATCGATGTGTACATGGACATAGATCTTGTGTAATTCTTTAACTTTTTATTTTGGTTTTGTGTAGCGGCCATCTTGAAATTGTGCCTACCTGGCGCCGATCTTGGCGTCAAAAAAGAATCGCCAATAAACAAGGGATCACCCAATTGTAAACTTTTACCAATTTAACTAATGGAAATGACTCCCTTAGCAACCATTGATGCCTTCTTATCGAAGGCAATGTAAGAAAGAATGAAAAATAATAAATTAAAATACTGCAATTCATCTTAATTTAATCCCCGGCTGGAAATGCAATTCTCTCAAAGAACGAGAAGTACCGGAACTCGAATTTAGCTGAATTAATCCTAGTATCCGGCGACTTTATGATGAGCAGTAAAAACGGGACATATACGATGAGTAGTAAACGGGTCATTCAAAGAATATATATAGTTATACATAGTATATACTATGTATATAGTGTATAGTATATACATAGACGTTTTTTGGGTCATTTTTGGTGTTCGCGATAAGTTTCAAAATCGCGCCAAGGCTGCACCATATACTAGGATTTTACCAGTTTAATCCTAGTATCCGGTGCACAAGGGATTTTGGCTACTTTTGGTGACTTTATGATGAGCAATAAACGTGACATATACGATGAGTAGTTAAATGGGTCATTTCGGTGTTGGCGATAATTTTCAAAATCTCGCCAAAGCTGCACTGTATACTAGGATTTTACCAGTTGTTGTATCTTTTATGGTAACCCGAATAGTTGAATGTTATGGAAACCCCATTATGACATAATCATTTGCATTATTCTGGGAAATTTTGAATCATGGGATGTTTTGCAAGGGCTTTTGTGGTGTGTGTTGCTTAGGAAGTACATTGCTTGTTCCATTGTTTAGATGGTACAATGGCTGAATGTAGTAGGATTAATTTGATGTTTCTGTATGATTTGAAACAAAAAGAGGATGTGTGAAAACATTCTCACATCCTTCTTTTCAAGAGAGACGACTGTATTTATTTTAAGGGGTCAGGTACCCTATAATAAATCAAAAAGTCAAAATTTTTTATGCCTTTATAGTTTTACCTAAATTTTGATTTCTTTTAAGCATTTTAAAACCAACCACATGTTAAATTTTGCTCCAGAAACAAAGTTATGGTAAAAGCAAAAACCAATTATTAGACAATTAAAACAATAATAATATTTACATAAATCTAATGGAACATTTAAATTCTATATTCTGTACTATATATTAAAGTAAGACAGCAATTATTCATTAAATGAAATAATAAAGTAACTTTTTCTTGTCATTGTATATCCACATACAAATGAAAATCGCGCTTCCCTTTGTCAACACACACGTAACCAAACCAAAGGTGTTGAACCAAACCCGCAACATTTCTGCACGACTGGTTCGAAAGGCGCAGATATTACAAAAGTATCCCTGCTCTGCGCCACTCTTTAAGTCGGACGTCTAGCGTTTTTCATTGTGTATTGGATATTGCCTCAGACGGATAGACGCTACGTCGTTGTCGGGTTAGTTTACATTTTCGCCCTGCGGGCAGAAAATTAAAAAAAATAGAAAACAAATTCCATTGTCTGACCGTCTCTCCGCTAAGTTAGAGTTTGGTTAGCTATTATAGTAAGTAGGTTGTGTATGCTTGGTTTTATTAATAAATATCATCAGCTCAATATCTGAGACGGTCTAAAATTTGGCTTAATAAAACAGCAGCGGATGATGGCTACGATTTAACTCACACAACTAGTAAAATTCCAGTTTGGTTGAGAATCAATAATTTTACGTATTTATAAAATTTATGTTGTAATGGAAATGAAATAGTTCCTATATCCACCCATTTTATCCGCATTTAAGAAAGGCAGGCATCTTCATTTTAAGGAGACCCACGCCAATAATAGATCTGTCTTGCAGTAATTAGAAATTTAGATAAGGAAAACTTTTAAGTACCGCTTACTAACATTAATAACCTTCATAACATTAAACTAAAGGTACATAGCAGTAAACTTGGTTTAATATTGTATATCTTCGTAATATAATGAGGTACATTGCATACGTTTAATAGTTATGTACCTTCATAACACTAAATCATTATGTTATGAAGTTTTATGTTTTAAACCTAAGATAGTTTTTTTCTTATTTGATCTGCAGATATTTGAAACAATTTATCACTGAATCTACCCTGATATTTTCTGTTGTTGAAGTATTAAAAGACAATCTGAAAACTAATCAAATGATAAAGAAAATATTTTAAAGCAGGAATATGATTTAAGACTGACCTCCCAGCCTAAGGTTAAATAAAAGTGCAAAACAAATGATTGTTTGAGATAGAAATTAGAAATAGATGATCTCTTTTAAAATAATAAGACTTGTTTCTACTTTTACACTCTTCATTTCCTGGATGTCAGATGTGATCTGAAGTACGTTATGTACATTAAAAATTATGTTGTATTGCTAGTCATTACACTCGTAAAATATAATTTTCCATAGAAAATATTATGAACTGGTTGTATGGTTAGTTTCCCCATGTGTAATAAGAATATAAGCATGTGTAATGCAAATACCAGTTTTCCTTAAAAAAAACTGCATGAAGGCATCCTTCTCTAGGTAGTAGCTCTCATGTGCTTTATCATATTTAGATAACCTAACCTAATCTTACAGAAGATTAAAATTGAAAATGAAACTTAATTAATATCTACAGCTTTAAAATTGAGAATAAAACATAATTAATATCTACAGCTTGGTCTAAAGATTCTGCAGCAATTTATTTCTCAAAAATTATACTTTTTTGTAATAACATTTAAAGTAACATTGATATTTGAAATCTGAAAAATTTAGTATTTCTTGTGAAATTATCTTCAAAATGATAGGGATTCCTGGATTAATTCTGATTTGAAAATCAGTAAAGTTCAATTTTATAATTGTTAATTAGTATTTATACATTTGGTGTAAGAGTGAACATTTTTAGTTATCTGCATAATGGAATATTTATTTCAATATACATGCAGTTGTAACATGAATAATTATAATTTTATATGACTTGGACGTAGCTTGGAATTGGGGAAATTATAGATCAATTGTGAAATAATTAGCATTTTTTTCTTTCCTCCTTTTGGAATGGTAGATGTTGTTTTATTGATAAATATTGTTTTATTATTTTTTTTTTTTGGTGGTAAAATATTAAAGCAGGTAGATTAAGTAATACAAAATGCTGTTTTATATCTAATAATATGGCAGAAGTTAACACATTAAATAATGAGAGTAATTGCAAATTTATTTGGTATAAGATTTACATCCTAAAAATATCTTTTCTGTAAAAAAGTTTCTGAGTATTTGTTTTGTATTTCCGTAGTACCTCTTCAAAAAGAGTGTAAAGTTTAGAACTGACTGTAAAGATACTTGGCTAAAAAAACTGATGAAGTTGTATTCATAAACAATATTACTGATGCCTCATCATCCATTAATGAAGAATCAGTATCTTGCAAAATCTGCTACTTTAAAAAAATATACTGAATGTTTATATTTTCTACCTCGTTTAGGCTAATTAATGATTCAGACTGCTGTTTTGAGAAATTTTAAATGAATGTTATTGTCCTGTAGTACCACATAATTGAATATATATTTTTAAAACTTACCTGTTCATATTTTGTGTATATGTTCATAAGAGTATGTGAAGTACATTGGTAAAAGAATAGTTTAGGGTACCCTTTGGCGATTTTTGGCAGTACATGGATACCAATTTTGTGCAATTCTTTGACTCCTTATTTTGGCTTGTGAAGCGGCGATTTTTGTGCCAAAAATCGCCACTACATAAAGCCAAAATAACAAGACAAACAATTGCACAAACTCGGTATCCATGTACACATCGACTTATTTTCACTTTAAAAAAAAACCCCGAATTGCACAAAAATGGCATTGCGCACTCCTTTGACTTTATACATGTACACGTCGACCTATTTTCACTTAAAAAAAATCCTCGAATTGCATAAAAATGTCATTGTGCACTCTTTTAACTTTATCCATGTACACTTCGACCTATTTTCACTTAAAAAAAAATCCCAGAATTGCACAAACTTGCATTGCGCACTCCCTTTACTTTGTCAATGTACACATCGATATATTTTCACTTAAAAAGGTCAAAGGAGCACCAAAGTCTACAATATAGGCAAACAAAAAATACATAATCTCAATAAAATACATTTTAAACCAAACAATAACATAAAAAAGGAAAAACATGTTATATATTTAAGCACTACCAAAAGCAAATATTCACTAACGATGATTTTCGAGTTCGCTTCATACACTCAGAGCCACGTAAAAATCAAAATATCAATCATACTCAAATGATTTTTTTCAAACCAGGTACTCTCTCTGATCGAACACTTCACATAGTGACCATCTGAACCTTTCTTCCTACAAACCCATTCAAATCCATCTAAACGGTTTTAACACACACACCACAAAAATGCTTACAAAACATCCCGCGATTCAAAATTTCCAAGAATCATGCACCCGATTACGTCACAATAGGGTTTCCATAACATTCAACTACTCAGGCTACCATACATGAAACAACTTGGCGATAAATCAAACAACAACTTTGCCATAATACAAAGGGTACCTTAAAGTCTACTCTACCCGTCACATTTTTTTTTACCTGTCGACTAGTATTGAATATTGAAAATCATGCAGATTGTTTAAAATTAAAACATGCATACATGGTTTTATGTTTCAGAAAACTAACATTAAACAACATATATATTATCTCATGAAAGTTATGAATTTCTTAGTGTGATGACATATAACTTAGAATGACTGTCTGCCTACAAGATTATTGCCTTAATTTTAAAAATTTGCTGGGTATACAAAGAAGCTTCATCATGTGTATTAACCTTTTAACTGTCATGCCCGAAATAATCTCGGGCACAGCACTGGTATTCCAAAATGTCACGCCCGAGTATTACTCGGGCAAATTTTTTTTTAGTGCATCGTATTGTTATACCTGAATATGTATCGTGAGCAGTTTATTTCGGCCTCAGTTCAACAGATGGCAGCATTTTAATGAAGGTTTCAAAGGATAGAGGTTAAAATTTAAAGTGTGTGGCATTTTTTTTTTTTTTTTTTTTTTTTTTTTTTTTTTTGATTTTTTTGACTGCGAGGCAAACATTTCATTTTTGAAATAAAAAAAAATTGACAATTTATGTACTCAAATCATCAAAAAAAGCTTAACATAGATAAACATTGCTCGGCAGATTTTATCAGTCTAATCCTTTATCACTTTCATTCCATGTAACTCTCTTATTCTGCATATCATCTTCACGTTCATCACCCTCCACATCATCGAATTTTCTATATTCATCTAAACCTGCACTGTCTCTTCATTAAAACTAATCTTCTCTGAACATGTAACTAAATTCAAGATGTTGGGCATGGGCACCAAATTTGTTTTAAACCTGAGGAAATCTTCATCACTTGACTTGTTGTCTGTAAACATGATTATAAGCCAGAGTCTATACCAGTAGTGATGTAAAGTAATGTTCTTCACATCTTTCCAAGCAACAGCCAAAGTAAATATGTTATCATCCAATAAGAATTATTTCTGAAAGTCATGGAAACTACCTTCAAAATTCATACATCAATGCATAAAAAGGGATAGGTAGTTGCATCTTTTACATCCTGGCTAATTCATTGTTGGATAAGACTTGTTATGTTACATGGCAGAAACATAACTCAGATGTTTTCCACATTTAATTATCCAGATTGTTAGCGCATTACATATTTTCTATCTTATAGGTCTAAATTTTGAATTTAAATTTAGATCTTGAAAAGTGCTGTTAGTTTGATATAGTTACAAGAGATTTTACAGTATTATTTTTACTTAATTGTTAAAAAAATTTCAGTCATTCAAATCATTTTCAGAGGAGTATTTGCTGTTTTTTTTTTTTTTTTTTTTTTTGTTGATGTTAATTTGCATGTAATTAAATAACTTTGATAATGAGTATTCCATATAAAATGTTGATCCTCATTTTTTTAATAATTTAAAAATAGTGCTTCCAAATTAAATAAGTTTGTTTAAAGGCTTATTTCTTAACCATTGTCTCTCCGTAATTTTATCTTCTTTTACACTTATTTTTGAGCAAATTCTACCGACTGATAGCTAAGATGTTAAGCCTATTATAACTAAAAGAACATGAAGTTACTTTAAGTTGAAACTGATATTTTATTGGAAAGTCTTTGCTCTTCAGAATTAAATATTTGGCACTGAGCATTGATTGTACAATACAGTTATGATTAAGAAAGTTATTTTATGCAGTTAAGGTTTAAAGTTGTGGGATAGTAGTTTATAACAGTGTTTTTCAACATTTATTACTACATTCAACATTAGAATTTTTTTATCACATTACAAAGATGACGTAACATTTTTATGGTCAAAGTAATGGAAATATACTTTTTATGAGAGGAATTGATTAGACCATTTGATCATTTAGTTGTATTAAACAACTATAAAAATGAAAGAAATAAGTATCTTATATTAAAATAAAAGTAAAGAAAATGTTATATGATCAAGCTTATTTTTGCAGTAAAGCATTTATTGTACAGTTAATGAGCATAATAGTTTTAACATTTTCTGAAATGACTACTTTTCAGTCTTATTTTAGCCACAAGAATGTCTCATAAGAGATCTTTTTTCTCTACTTTTTAAACAAATTATTTAATTTTTTAGTGTAAAGTTTTTTTAATGAAAGTTTAATTTTTTTTTTTTTTTTTTTTTTTTTTTTTTTCTTTCAAATGTGCACTCAATTAAGGGGTATCAATATTAGAATTTGTATAGCAAATATAATAATTTAAAAAGTTTTGAGAATGAAAAAAATTGCATTATGGGAAAAAGTTGCCTTTTTTTATTAAAAATATAGCACATATAAATATGTAGATTTATTAAATAATTCTTTAAAAAATTCAGTTTAGAGAAAGGCATGATGTATTATGGTAAATGAATCAGTTTGTGCAAGCTAAGAAAAGTTTGTCACAGTCTATAGAGAATGGGCCAGGAAGTGGCATCTGTATTTATGTATATGCATTTCAGTATTTACAGTTATGCTAACTAAACAGAAATTTGCAAAAAAATTAAGTTGGAAGGGTTTAAAAGCTTCAGCTATATTTGAATACAGTCAGGTAGAGGAAAATGCAATGCTCAGGTACAAGCATAGATTGTAAAGACTTAATGAATAAAATATAGAATGTGATATTTTAATATGAAATGTGCCACCTATAAAATTAATAACAAAATTTTACAAAAAACTGTTATATAGATTAATATTTTTAACTTTGTTACAGGTGAAATTTAGAGCTGCCTTTTTTTTTTTTTTTTTTTTTTTTTGTTCTGATATTCTGCTGTCATCTTGGTGTAATCATATCATTATGTCATAATATGCTGCTTGAATGGCATTAAGATGTTCTGTAACAGAAGTATTGCCTGGATTTTCCAATATTCTGCCTATGTTTCAATGTTTTTATAATTTATAAAAAAAATAATTTGTCATAATTACAAATTTGACTTGGACTGTGTAAAATGTTGGTTAATGAGGGTTCAAATAATTGAAAGTTTGCTATATTACTAAATATCTTCATTAAAATTCTTGCATATTTCTTTAGTTTTGTAAATGATTAAATTTATATTTCTTATTTTAGTTTTCCTTTGTTGAGTAAATTTTTGCAAAGGAAACATGTTAGCTACTACACGAGAAAAGAGAGTAAATGCAGGAAATCGTATGGCTACATTGTTAGAGAATGAAGAAGCAGATGAATTTTATTCAAGTGCCTATGGTGGATTTCAAGATGTAGGTCATTAGTTTTGTTAATGCATATGCACTTATATAAAAATTGTTAATTGATTTTTTAATATTTAAGGGTTTCCCCCCCACATTCAGTCTTTTTAAAGATACCTGTAAATCTGCAATAACCATGAAACATTTAAGTAAATTTAATGCATATTATCTTCCCTTCCTGGAAATGTTGCCACTTTTGATTGTTGAATTTATGGTGGTGATTATGAATTTAATCGCTTAGTCTAGCAGTCTGTCATTATTATACTATAATATGCATTCATTTGGTTTGGAAAAAATAATAAAATTTGGATTTTGCTGTCAATAGAATCAGATGTTGTGTGTTATTTTCAATAATAAATAATCATAGAAAAGGAGTTTCAAAATAGCCCTGACATGATGATGCATCTGAAATCAGATATCAATACTGATGGCACATTTCTAATTGAAAAAAGTGTCATTCAAAAAGGTATATATCTGGAGAAGTTGATTTTATCACATTGGAAATCAAATATAGTTGTTGCCTAGCCACTGTTTGCTGGTGCCAGAATCTGATTGAAATCAATGACATCATCATTTCTTTTGGCAAGATAATATATAAATATTAAAATTACATATTTTGGTATGATTAAACTGATTTAATGAAAATATTTCATTAATTTGAGTTTTAAAGTGAGCATTGATTTAGCTTATGTATACATGAACTTAAAAAAGTTTTTTTTTTTTTTTTTTTTTTTGCATTTGTATATCTGTAGAAATAATGTTTAATATTTAATCATATAGGTCATTGAAGATCATTGTTATGTTTTATATATTTCTTGTGTAGATATTAAATACTTGGTTTATATTTCCATATATTTTAGGAAGCTGAGGATGTGGAATATTCAGAAGAAGATGAAGAAAGTGAAGATACTGATTCTGATATTTCCTTGGATGAAAAAGATGAACCAGTATCTGATCCTGAAGAAGAAGAAAAAGCAAAACGCAAAAACAGGGTTGTTACGAAAGCTTATAAAGTAATATTATTTTTATCTTAATGTATGAGTTTTCAAGTTGTTAATAGAAATTTAGTATTTTCCACTAATGCTTGTAAAAGGCAACAAAAAAATACCAAATGGTGTTCCAAATACAATACAAAGCTTAAAATCCATATATCCATTAACTGTAATGATATATTAGCCAGAACTTTCATAAAATTTTTTCTTTGAAGAATTTTTTTTTTTCCCCACACTGTATGCTGAAACAGATAAAACAATACCCAAGCAAGAGCAGGTATAGCATAAATCAACTTTTTTTTCAATCTTATTAACACTGTATTCTTATTTTATCAAAATTAATATTTTTAACAAAAAATAATATTTCTGTTTTACTCTTTTCTCCAAACTTTGTATCCATCATGGATCTAATAGATATCAGAAATTTTGTTCACATTGAAATATAGATGTAAGCCATTTAAAAATCAGTTTAGGAATGAGAATTTCGTAGAATTTTTGAAAAGATTAATGTAAAAACTGCTGTGAGGAGGATTGCAAGATTATGAGAAGACTGGTCTACAGCTATTTTTTAAAATGATTGCATATCCATATGTATCATAGGCATTTGAAGAACACCAGTTCTTTTATTTTTTACAAGTGACAATTAAAAATACATTAAACAAGTACATTTCACTTTTGATTATAAATATGTTTTATTTATACAGAGTAACAACTGGCCTGTTTGTAGTTAGATATTATATTTCGTGATGGTGATGATAGCCATGAATCTGAAAATTTTTAGGTAATATGACAAGTGAATTTTTTTCAATTAATGGAGTATGTGGAGAAATGTAAAATTAAGATGATATAACTGAAGTCTTATATTGTGATGACATTGCTTTCAATCATCAGTCAATTAATGAACAACAAAATCTGTTGGGAGAAAATATTGCCATTTCAGATTCAAGTCACATTTTAATTTTGTGAGATGGTTATTTGCATGTAATCTTTCTTTATGTAGCGTGCCTGTTTCTAAAAGAAATAAGAAAGTTCCTTATTTATCTTTTGGAAAATCCTGAATCATGAAAGGTCATTTCGGTTGGGGGCATAATAACTATGATTAGATAAAAAACATTTTTGTATCAGGAAATATGCCTCACAAATAAAAAAGGTATTTAGTAGCTTTAACAGAAAAGAACCACAAAATTTTTAATTCTTGGAATATGTGAAGGCATGCAAAGAAATGCTAAATCAATATGATATAGCTGAAGTCTTCCTTGCAATAGTTATGCCTAACCATCAATGAAATTACACATAGTGAAATCTTGAGTATGATTTTAAATCCAGAAAATACACCAGTGATTGTGAGGAAGGTAATAAAGAGGTTATTAAAAGTGAAAAGATTTCAATTTATTACTTAAGATAGTTCTCAATACCACAATTATGAGACTTGAATAATGGAACTTTGTAATCGAATAAGAAATTACGTCTCTTTATGAAAAAGAGAAAGTATTACCATATAAAATGAAATTGTTAAATTGCCTATTAGCAAAGTTTTGGTGATTCTGAATCTTGTAATTTATACTGTACCATTATTTTTCTTTTACCAAGGGATTCTAGTGATTACACACTAGAGCAGGAAACACTTTTGGAAATTCAGATAGGAAAATTAGATATGTGAAAATGTTGCCTTTTATTAAAACATATTAAAATGTTCAAATTTTCTTTTAAATTAGATTTAATCTTTTTTGTTGGAATTTTCCAAAAAATTTCACAGACACCAATTGCCTCAATATGGTGTACAGTTAAAAGTCATTAATCCGGACTCGTCGGGACTTCCGGGCGATTCCGGATAATCAATTTTTCCGGATTATAGATCATCAGTTTAAATCTGGTAAGATGGCATGCAGAAATTATAAAATTAAAAATATGAAACTGTAATTTATGAAATAAAGAACAATTATGATCTAAAGGGTATCAAAATTTCAAAAAAAAAAAAAAAAAAAAAGCTTAATATTTATTTGTTTACTTTATTAAACATTTCTTTTAATATAAGTTGTTTAAGTTGCTTCGTTTTTTATGTGATAATACATTCTCTTTAATTCTATAAACAGGCATAATTTCTTGTTCAGTTACAAAGTTCCGCTGTTCAAGTCCTATAATTGCTGTGTCAAGAATACCGACTAATCTGTCAATCGAAATTTTTTCCTTTTAGAAGAAAGTGACCTCTGTGTAACTTTCTTCGCTATCGGAAGCGAATTATAATGACGAGGAATTTGATTTAAATCATATCAAAGATGGAGTACATCCAGATGAAATACTACATTTAGTAAGGAATTATAAGCCAAATAAAATAAAAACATCTGCTCTGAAGATAAGGATAGTGCTGACAGGCACGCAACGTTCCCCGCCCCCCACACACGCAAAGCAGCGTGAAATTGATAAACAGATTTCAGAATGGTTAGATAAACAAAGGATATGCCTTTATCCATTTTTTGCAGCAATTCCACTTTTTGTTTAATGGACTTCGAAACACACTTTCGCTTTGTAGATCCTTTACATATTAGTAAATATATATCAGAAATTCTATTTGACATAATCGAAAGTTCAACCTTACTTTTATAAAATTGCTCTAACAATCTGCAGAAAATAATAAGCCGTATCCAATTCGAAGATTAAGGAACAATGCAATCTGCAACATTAACTGAATTAGATAATTTTAGCTTAGCTTATACCATCTGTTATACATTAAACGCGCATTCTTAAACATTTTGCGCATGCTCACACGCATATTTGCAGCCGTAAAGGTCTTACGTGCATGCGTCAATATGACGCATGCGCAGAAAGTTTGTAGCTTTGAGGTCCGGATTGTGGGTGTCCGAATTAACGACTTTTGACTGTATTAATATTCTGCATCTTAACTATATATATCAATATATGCAAAATATCAAACTTTTCAGTATTAAGTGAAAACTATAAGCTTACTAGTCTGTGTAAGTCATCTGGGAGTGGTTTCAGCTGTAATGTATTTGACTGTACCAGCAAGTATCAATCTTATTGCACAAAACAACAACTGTCGTTTAATATTTCACGTGATCTGTAGCTTTTAATGATATTATATAAATTGACATTAATGTTATATAAAGATGATTATATATTGACCTTAATATTTAATAATATTATATAAAGACAATTTTAATTAATCTATGTAAATGCCTGTGACACAGTTAGGTGCTTTATACCCAGTGTTTCAGATACCAAAACCGTTTTTTAAGAATGTAATCTGACTTTGCAGATGAAGGAAAGTTTTTTTTTTAAACTTTCTGATTATCCGTTACTGTGATTTAAGAGGTGTTACAATCGAGCTGGTTGTAACACCTCTTAAATCACAGTAACCATAAACAAACATGTGCAAGACCCAAGGTGTGCTAATGTGAAAAATATACATCCCAATATATCATAAAATACAGTCAAAAGTCGTTAATCCGGACTCGTCGGGACTTCGGCGATTCCGGATTATCGATTTTTCCGGATTATAGATCATCATTTTAAATCTCGTAAGATGGCATGAGAAATTCTAAAATTAAAAATATGAAACCGTAATTTATGAAATAAAGAACAATTATGATCTAAAGGGTATCAAAATTTACAAAAAAAAGCTTAATATTTATTTATTTACTTTATTAAACATTTCTTTCAATGCAAGTTGTTTAAGTTGCTTCGTTTTATGTGATAATACTTTCTCTTTAATTCTATAAACAGACATAATTTCTTGTTCGATTACAAAGTTCCGCTGTTCAAGTCCCGTTAATTGCTGTGCCGAGAATACCGACTAACTTGTCAATCGAAATTTTTTCGTTTTCACTAACCTCTCTGTCACATTCTTCATGCCTTTATCCATTTTTTGCAGCAATTCCACTTTTTGTTTGTTGAACATCGAAACATACGTTCGTTTTGTAGATCCTTTGGAAGTTCCAGCATCGGAAATTCTATTTGACATAATGGAAAGTTCAAGTTTACTTTTATAAAATTGCTCTTACAGTCTGCAAAAAATAATAAGCGGGATCCAATTCGAAGATTAAGGAATAACGCAATCATGAACATTAACTGAAATAGATAATTAGATAATTTTAGCTTACACCGTCCGTTATACATTAAACGCACAGGCGAAAACGTATTCTGCACTTGCGCACACGCATATGCGCAGTAGTGAAGATCTTACGCGCACGCGTAAAACGCTTGTGCGCATGTCCCAACGCGGCGCATGCGCAGAAAGTTTTTAGGTTTGAGGTCCGGATTATAGATCATTCCGGATTATGGGTGTCCGAATTAACGACTTTTGACTGTAATTACTTAGATGAGAGTTGAACATAAGAGAAAAACATACCTGTTGCATATTAAGATACATATATACAGTACATTTTAATTAATCAGTTTGATTACTAAGAATGGCTATTGGACATTTACTATAACAGGGATCATTAGCATTGTAATCATACACTTGAATGACAGGATTCTTAACTAATTTTTTGAGCAATAAGGCAATAAAATGTTCTTATCAGCTCGAAACATAGTTCTTGCTGTAACTTGTGGTTCGCACATAGCATGGAGCAACGGAGATTTGCCTCAAAACACAGTTTTGAGCAGCTTGTAATTTTTCTTATAGAGATTTACATGAATAGGCCCATACCTGGCAGGCATAACATAATATGAGATTTAGCATGGACTTATAAATGAGTAACTTGTTGTCTATAGGAAGAATACTGTTTTGAGCTATTAAGGGGAACAGTGTATGTTTACTCACTCAAAACATTCTGATAATAGATACGATGTGTGGGGACTATGAGAGAGTTTTCCTGAGGATCATCCCAAGATAAAGGACTTGCTTGACCCAGGGGATTGACACTGTATAATGTTGCAGATTCTTCTTAAACTTGTTCTTCTTAGCAAACAGTATGGCTTGTGTTTTTTAATGTTCACCTTGATTTTCCACTTGTTGAGCGAAGTTTTGAGTATGTGTATGTAATCTTCTAATCATTGTGTAATGCATTTTGTGTGAGGATCGTTGTGACGTCAACATACATTGCAAGTGTTGTGTTGGGTATAGTGGGGATGTCATTCATATATATATTAAAGAGTGTGGGACCAAGAAGGGACCCCAGCCTGGATGGCCCTGTGAGTAGTGTACCTGTGACGTGAACGACAAAGTGTCTAACACTAGGTAGCATTTAATTATGTTAGTGATGTACTCTGGAAAACCAGAGTGTGTAACTTGTAAATGAGGGCATCTAGCAATACACAGTCAAAAGCCTTTGCTATGTCTAGAAATAAGCCACCTGTGACCTTCTTATACTGAAGTCCTTCGCTAATCATTTCCACAACCCCTGTAGAGCTGGTGAGTAGTCAAGTGTTGACTCCTGAACTTGCATTGATATAGAATTAGTAGGTTGTTGTTCTTGATGTGTTGGTTCATATTTGATAATATGACAGCTTTAACTATCTTGCTCCAGAGATGGAAGCAAGCTGATTGGATGATAAGATCCTGGAGTACTTGCAAGCTTGTTAAGCTTGAGGATGGGGGTAATTTTCGCAATCTTCCAACTCTCTGGGAAGTGTTGCCATATCTGGGTTGCAACATAACTAATTTGGCAACATATTGCGCACTCTCATGAATACTTTTCACAACTGTTTGGTGAGGCTGCAGATAATCAGAAATCACTGTGTTTTCTTTATAATGTAAGTGCATATGTTTACATGTGACATTAATTTTTGAAGGGATAATACCATAGTAATTTTTTTCAACCATGTGGCTTTGCTGTTTTGAATAAAAAAAATTTGTACCTTTCCGTTTTGCCGGCGCAGGCGATAAAGTCGCCAATAATGGTACAACTGATGCCAAACGGAATATCTTTGCTGGTAACCTTTTATACCTCATTTTCAAAACAAGTCACAGCTATTTCTTACCAGATTGATTGTTGCTTTCAATACTGGCATACAATTACGTAGAATATTTACAAAGATAATTAAATTTTATGTCTTAAGACCATTCGCGGTAATTAAGTCAATTAGGATCTTATCTCACCGCTCACCCGAAGACGAAAATATAGAAAAGGCAAAATCAAGGGTTTAAGTTCATCAATTCTAATGAGAATGCACTAGCGAAGTAAAGCACTACGGTTTTACATAATTTCTCAGTAAGCTGTTTGTACAAATTGAAGTAATTCTTGCATTTAAACATGTATTCAAAATTAAGATTTAACTTCAAATTAACGTAGATAATTACTGAGAGAATTATATTTTTGTAGCGTAGTTTATGTGAGATGAGATCACTTGGGGTCACATGATACAAACCGGCGAATCAGGATGTTGAACCATGATAGCATAGTAAATTCTTAAATTAATGTCTTTTTTTTTTTTTTTTTTACAAATTTATTGTCTTTATTTATTGGCATTTTACAAAATTTTAAACAATATTAAAATGTTTATGCCTTTAAAATAAAAAATTCTTAGAACTAACATTTGTTAACATTTTTTATATATATACTCTTATGTTGTCACCAATAAAATCTCCTTAGCAATATTTGCACCGGCGAAACGGAAAAGTACCAAAAATTTTCTTCTACCTCTAATTTCCAATGTATTTATTCTCAAACAAATAGATCATAACTAGTCTGCTTGGCGATATTTGCACCAGTGAAACAGAAAAGTACCAAAAATTTTCTTCTACCTCTAATTTCCAATGCATTAATTCTCAAACAAATAGATTATTACTAAGGTTAAAATTAATTACATAGTTATAATTGTTTTAGTTATATATATGTATAGTATTTAAATTATATCAAATTATAATTTTTGAAAGTGTTGCAAAAATGAAAAATGCAAAAAGTGTTTTTCAACTACATTTTTGGAGTTTACTGGTACATCACATTTTGAAAAATGCTATTATTCCTACTAAAGTGCTATTATCCCTTTGGTTTAATTAGTATTTATATTTTTAAAGATTTTTCTAAATTCCTTTGGTTCTGGCTCTCTCTATATATAATTAAAAAATTATTAAATAACAACAAACTGAACATATCAAGATCATATTACAGTTTCATTTTAAACTTATGATTGTTATATTTTTAAATCTAAAATTTTAAAAAAATACTAAGCTTTAGCAGTAAAACATTTTGTGGTCTTTGGACAGTAAACATTTCAAGGATTCAAATTTGAAGTTTCCGGGCTTTTTTTTTTTTTTTTTTTTTTTTTTTAATGACAAAAATTCAACTATTCTTTTAAACAAAATATAGTATGAATAGTTAATTAATTATTAAAAAAATATTTACTGGAACGTTTAAAGCTTCCATACCCATATAATAACTTAATTTGTTACATTTAGGAACCCCAAAAAATGAAAGTAAAAAAAGAAGCAAAGAAAGTGGCATTTAAAATGGAACCAGTTGCAAGTGCTTCAACCCCAGTTGTTGGTGAGTAATAGTCATTTTAATATAGTAATATTGCTAAGGAAAGTACGGAATAGGCATAATATTTCCATTAAGTAAGGAAAAATATTCCATTAAGTAATGAAAATTTCCATTAAATAAGGTCCATAAAATAAGGAATAGACATAATATTTCCGTTATGCATATTTTTTTAACTATTAGTTTTGTGTGCTTTTAAACAAGATAAGTATTGTGTAAAAAATCAGTCATTAACTTCCTTAAGTAATATGACACAATTTACCATATTTATAATTAAAATAAATAGTTTTATTATATATGTCTAATATCCAGCATTGAAAGTGGAGGAAAAGTCATTTTTAAAAACCGAGTAACAGTTGGCAAACTCAGTGTTCAAATTTTATGTAAATGGTTATCATTAAATGTGCATGAGAAGAGTATGCTATGAACTATTTAAAAGGACTATGTTCTTACTCATAAGTAATTTTAATTAGACTTTTTGCTTTATTGTGTATAAAAATGCTTTTGAGGCTTTTTTGATAGAACTAGAATCAGCTACTGCATTTAGAGAGAGACTTCATCATAGGCTTGAGAGAAGCAACCATTGATATCAATTAATGACAATCTTTGTCGCCCAGGCGGTGTAGTGGTTAGGGATGCTTACTACGGTACCGAAGGACCCGGGTTCGAATCCCGGAGAAGACATAGATGTTTGTAAATGTAGTAGTGTTGGTGTGGCACTCTAAATATGCGGCAAGCTGAAAGTCCTCTCGTATGGAATGGTGGGAGTGGAGAGGGGTGGGTGCTCTCCCTCAAAATTGGAGGTGGAAAATAGAAGTCCAACCTCTCTCCAGAGTAGGCTTTGGCAACCATTATTCCATGTAGTATGGACATGACAACAACAACAACAATGGCAGTCTTTGTTTGAGCAATATAAGTATTGACGACAATAGGTCAAAGGAGGCACATGTAACCAATGCTCATTATGCTTCAGACTCACAAATCTGGCAGTCAAGAAAACAAGACATAAGAGTAAAATCACTAGCATTTGCAGTCATCTTAACACTTTGCGGCATGGTGGGTCAATATATGTCCCACCTAATTAATATTTATTTTCTCAGTTAGCAATTTCCGTTAGAAATTTTCTAATCTTTTAAAAATAATCTATTTTAGTTATTATTTTTCTCAGTAGATGTTACTACTATACCAGGGCTTAAGTTTATAAGCAAAAAATATTCAAAATAGGATCACAAGTGTGATATCCATGTATCTCGCATTTTTCAATATTTTAAAAATTTTGGTATACAATTTATGATACGTGTGATTTTTTTTAATATTCAAAGGTATTTTATTTTCAAAAATCTTAATTGGATTCAATATTTTTATAACATTAATTTTGCCGGTTGAAATAAGTGGGTTAAAATTTGTCCCACCACACACTTGAATTTCCGCTCAATAGATGACAGCACTCACGATTATTTTTTCTTTTCTTTTTTGCATCTACTTTTTTCGTGATTGCACGCGCTTTTGCATCCGTTGTATGCTCTGATGTGCTAAAATGTCTAGGAAAAAATTAACAACTCAGAAAGCTTTGGATCTTTTTGCTGAATTGCCATTCGATTGCGACTCAAATGCTTCAGATGTTAGTTCTGATTCAGATGAAATTGAAATCCAGGAGAGAATAACTGAGGTTGAAGTTATTGTTGAAGAAGAAAGGGAAGTAGTTATAATTTGTTTCGCTTTTTAAAGAAGACACAGACCCATCTATGCATGTGGCACTGTAAATATGGATCGGAAGTATCTACCCAAAAATTTAAAAGACAAATTTATGTCAAAAGAATATATAGACTTTTCAGTTAGCGATGATTCAATTTATTGCATAAAATGGAAGGATAAAAGATCTGTTTCTATCCTGTCTTGCTTGGAAAAGGCAACTGAAGTGAAAGAAATTAATAATAAAGAATGAGATGGAAAGACAAAAAAAAAAAAAAAAAGTAGTAGTGTGCCCAAACAGCATTATTTCATACATTAAGAATATGGGATATGTCGACTGATTGATCAACTGAAAGAACTATATGAAATAGACCGCAAAAGCAAGAAATGGTGGCACATGATTTTTTTTTTTACTTTTTAGATGCGAGTATAATAAACACATTTATTCAAGTTTGTTCACAAACCTGATCATGATGTAAAAACAATGAAAGATTTTCTTCTCTCAGTTACAGAAGGTCTAATGGCACTTGCAGGCAAGAAAGAGCTGAAAAGAAAACTGAAATCCCCAGTTCAAATAAAAACTAAAAACCCATTCGTACAACCAGAAAAGAGACTAAAAAATGTAAGTAAAACGCCAAAGAGAACGAGCAGGAGAAGATGTGCCATATTGCAGCATATCGAAAGAAGAGCGACGAACATTTTGGATGTGTGAAACATGTGAAGTGCCTCTATGCTTACAAAAGAATGAAACAACATGTTTTTCAAAGTTTCATGAAAAATGACTCTTTTTCAATTTTAATCATATATAAATGTTTCTGAATCAAGTGCCAATTTTAATATTTTATTTAGTATCATATGTACGAGTATCAAATTTTAATCTTAAAATAATATTCAAGAAAATATTTTTTTTGTTCCTAAAATTTAAAAATATTAAAATATATACTATATGCAAAATGTGCATATGCAAAATTTTACAAGTCATGCATATATGCAATTAGTACAAAATGCATTTTAGTGTGTTTATTATGAATATTTTAGAATGCACGCTTTCTTTTGTTTGTACATTCCACATATGATTTTTTTTCCTGCTATACACCAATATGCTATAAGACATGTGCTAGCTGCATGGTGGGACAAACGGTATCCCACCTTCCACCGTAAAAAATAAAAGCGCAGAATTTTTTCAAGCCTTAAGGCACTTAAGTCCATCTGACTTATTCTAAATGACTAAGGCATTTTTTTAAAGATTAAAATATATTTTAAATATGCGTGTCGCAAAGGGTTAAAAAGCCATTTGCTTTCTTCCATGCATCCTGTAATATCAAGGGATATAATGAAGAGATGACTGGCCAAAGCTGAGATTTAATCTTGATGTCTGTCAAGAATAATACTGACTTCTCAATATTGATACAATGAATGTATTTTGGTCTGAGTGCTGATTGATTATCCTGGGCATGTTGAGCTGGAAACATGTTGTCTTTAGTAGTGAATTCCATTTCTTTCTCAGTATTAGTGACCATATATGTGCATAAAAATGAAGTGTTCAAAGTTCCGATTTTACGTTTATTGACGTATCGCTGCTACTGCACCTGGTTCAATAATCGAGGAAGTAATCATATGTGACAGCTAATTTCTAGTTATACTGCAAGGCAGTCAGAAGGCTTGGACATTGATATTAATCTGTTGCCAATTTTACTATCCTTGCTGTGAAAGTATTAGCTGCAATTTGTTAGCAAGATAATGCCCAATCATTACTGCACAATTTTCTCAGCAGTGTCTTTGAGGATTTAATAGTCTTCTATGTCTGTGCAAATCCTTAGACCTGTCACCATTAGAGTATGAAAGGGAATTTAGAAAGACAGTTGGAGTCTTCTTAAAAAACCACTGAATTAGCTGGCTAATTGAGAAATTAGTGACAGAATCTACGACAGAGGTGTACATCTTCACTCTCTGCCACATGATATGCCAGGTTATGTAATTGCTAAGGGAGGGTTTGCCACTTAGCTATAACATAATCTTGTAAACACTTTTTAATAAAATAAAAATTTTTCCCCAGAATTCAGATAATTTGTATATTTTATTAAAAAATGCATAAATGCCGAGTTTTACAACTCTTGTTAATTTTTTAGGGATGCATATTTCTTATAATATAAAGTATTTCATAACAGAATTGTTCTTCAGTTTTAATAATTTTAAGTGTTATTTTAAATATTATTAAAATATTTTCATTTTTAACACTTTGACTGCCACGGCATTTTTGGATTCGAGTCTGAGAAGCCAAATCAATTTAATCATATTATATTATTAAAATACTAATTATGATTCGTAACAATCATTAAAAAGTTTACAGGATTTTTTTTTTTTTAATAAAAAAAGGTTTTACGAATTATCTTGTAGTCAGCTTTTGTTAGACAAAGCTCTTCGCAGAAGCCCATTACGAGTTGATTCGTACAGACATGCTTTGACTTGTCGCCTCGTTACAGCTAAAACAAGCGCTAAGCGACTGAGTAACTCATAGCTGTGCAAAAAGTGGCAAGTCAAGAAACTACGAGATAACTCGTATTAGGTGTCCTGAAGAAGAGCGCTAATATGAGTTATCTCGTGTTGGGTAGTCAACGTATTAAATGTAATTTATGAATACATTGGCTGTTTTTAAATTTTAATTAGTGAACTAGAAAGGGGAATTTATTCGTTTTTTCGAATTACTTTTATTGTTGAATGTGATGTAAGCTAAAGAGGAAAAACAAATTATCTTATATGAAGGGTTATAACAATTAGCAGATTATAATTAATTATTCATATTAATTTTGAAAGAAGCATTTTATTTATTTATTAGAAAAGAAACAAATGCGTGAATCAACCACTCTCAAGTCCCTTGAAGCAAAGCAAAGAACCCAAGCAAAGGAAAATAAAAAAAGTCAAGAAAGTAAGAAAAAACAACCAGAAAACTATCCTTTGACACAAGAACAGCTTTTAGAAGAAGCTAAAATAACTGAATTGAAGAATTTGAAATCTTTAGGTAAATTTTATGGCTATTGCATATTACATCTGGTTTACAAAAATATGATACTAAATATTGTTTGTAAATGCTGTTTATTAAAATACCTGTCCTGATTCATTTAGCATAAATGCATATATGTGTGTATGTGTATGTATGTAATATATATTATAAAAATTATTAAAAATAATATTTATAAAAATATAATAAAAATAAGACTTCTAAAATTATATGATTATGCATCTGCCAACCTAAATAATTAATAAAATCTTTCATTTCTGGTATTATTTCAAAACTATAGTTAAAATGCATAAAACCCTTGTTTCTAATTACATTTACCTCTTGAATATCAGTACTGATTTTTTTTATGTGTTATTTCCATTTTTGTGATTATTACTCTTAATAATGAGTTTTTAAAACATATTGTCCTGTAATAATTCAAAAATATATTGCTCCAAATATTATGTAAAACTATTTAATCATTAAATTATGATTTAAAGTACTTGATGATGTTCGATACCCAGATTTTGAAAAATAGTACAGATGAATACTTTTAGTACTTAAAATGATATAAACAAGTGAGAAACATATTATCAAAGTGTAATTTTTGTTTTTTTCTTACATCTTGCATCAAAAATGTGTTAACTTTCAGGATAACTAGATATGTTCCCACAAAAATATTTGTCAATACTTTTATATTTGTCACTTATATTTATTAAGGTAGAAAGAATTAAATGGACTAAATTCTAAATGACAAAGTAAACTGTCTGTTAAATATACCTGTTTGGTGTATGTGAACATCAAATATTTCATCAAAATTAATGACTAGAACGTAGTTGGATACCTTAATATGATTATGTTTTAACATGATGGTTGTAATTATAATATTAGATTCTGCATTTTATTAGATGATCGTAACTTTATTCTTATTGTTACAGAAATGTTTCAGCGTTTGGAACTTGAGAAGAAGAAAACAAAATTAGCTAAACATGCTTGCACTGAACCCATGATACGCTATCACTCCGTAGCTATGCCTCTTGTTGAAGTGGTAGAAGATGAAAACAAGTAAAATTTACTTTTTATAGAATTTAATTTAAAAGAAATAATTTAAACAAATTTTTAAGTTCATTTTTGAATTAAAAATAATACATGCAGTGAATTTTTATTCTCTTATATATATATATAATATATAGTAGATAGTATATGCATAAATACAAAACGAAACATAATAAGAGGCTAAAAAGCAAATTTTTATACTCATCCTGCACTATAGCTGCAGGGTTGAAGTAAAATAGACTTAAAGAATCTAAAGTAAATTGGAGTTAAAGCAGGGTTATTCTTGAACGATATTAATAATAGCAATTGTGTATAAGAGGTTTAACACAATATTGAAACATATAAAAAATAAAATAAGAATTCATAGTAGTACAAATTCTAAAAATTAAAATTAAAATGCAAAAGGGGAAAAAATACAAGATAATAAAAATATAAAAATAAAAATTCAAAAGTCATCAGGGGAAAATGAATTAAAGCTTCATAAAAGTCGATTAATATGTTTCTAAAACGTATTTCGTTCTTCTAGTCCATTTGAGATCCAAAACTGAAAATGGAATCTATTAAACTTTCATTTAAGATGCTAAAATTCATATAAAACCGAAAACTTGAATCTTAAACGTACCAGGGTTTTAATATAGTTCGTATATGTATAGTTCGTATATATATAGTTTCGTTTGTATAGTATATATATATACAGGGTGCAGCAGCATTCATAGAGTAATTTGATTTGCGTAGTACAATGACGTACTGCAAAAATACGCACCAGCTTGTGCTGCAATTTCGAGTGTGACAGCGATATGGATCGGTGGAGTGCACAGCATCGTGCCTTTGCTGTTGAAAGTTATTCCAAGAATAACTACTCTGTTATTGCTACCCAGTGTCTGTTTCGGCAACATTTCAACTTGGAACGTCATATGAAAGTTCCAGATGGATGGACCATTGCGACAGACATTTCCAGGTAGAATAATTTCCCATTTTGGTGACATTTCCTGGCCGCCTCACTCACCTTATCTTTCATGTGCAGGCGTTTTCCTTTGGGACCACCTGAAGCAAAAAGTTTTCCGAACACATTGTGCCACCATTCCTGAGCTGAAGGATCGCATCAGAACTGCCGTCGGCAATGTCCCATGAAATACGTTATTCCGAGTTATGGCAAGCTTCCAACACCGCCTGGACAATGACGTACACATTAGTAAATGGCATACCTTTAACTATTAACTGACATAAGAGGTAATAAATAAATTACAGTTACTGCCTTATGGTGTGTTTTTAATATCCTACTATGAACGCTGCTGTGCCATATATATATATATATATATATATGTAATATGCACATGCATATCTTTCATTTTAAGACATCATTAGTTGTAAGACACACCTTAAATTTCAGTACCATTACCACTTCCCCGAAAAAAAACCTAAGAAAATAAATAATAATACAGTAAAAGTCGTTAATTCGGACACCCCATAATCCGGAATGATCTATAATCCGGAACTCAAAGCTACAAACTTTCTGCGCATGCGTCTCTTTGACGCATGCGCGTAAGACCTTTACGGCTGTGAATATGCGTGTGCAAAATACGTTTACGAATGCGTGTTTAATGTATAACGGATGGTATAAGCTAAGCTAAAATTATCTAATTCAGTTAATGTTGCAAATTGCGTTGTTCCTTAATCTTCGAATTGGATTCGACTTATTATTTTTTGCAGACTGTTAGAGCAATTTTATAAAAGTAAGCTTGAACTTTCGATATGTCAAATAGAATTTCTGATATATATTTACTAATATGTAAAGGATCTACAAAGCAAAAGTATGTTTCGAAGTCCATTAAACAAAAAGTGGAATTGCTGCAAAAAATGGATAAAGGCATACATATCAATTGTTTATCTAATCTTTAACATTTGTTTATCTAAACTTTGTTTATCTTTAAGGCCGCTGCGCACAATGAATTGAAAGTTGATCTGTCAGCACTATCCTTATCTTCAAAGCAGATGTTTTTATTTTATTTGGCTTATACTTCCTTGCTAAATATAGTATTTCATCTCGATGTACTCCGTCTTTGATATGATTTCAATCAAATTCCTCGTCATTATAATTCGCTTCCGATAGTGAAGAAAGTGACAGAGGTTATTGAAAACGAAAAAATTTCGATTGACAAATTAGTCGGTATTCTCAACACAGGAATTATAGGACTTGAACAGCGGAACTTTGTAACTGAACAAGAAATTATGCCTGTTTATAGAATTAAAGAGAATGTATTATCACATAAAAAACGAAGCAACTTAAACAACTTATATTGAAAGAAATGTTTAATAAAGTAAACAAATAAATATTAAGCTTTTTTTTTTTTTTTTTTTTTGAAAATTTTGATACCCTTTAGATCATAATTGTTCTTTATTTCATAAATTACGGTTTCATATTTTTAATTTTATAATTTCTGCTTGCCATCTTACCAGATTTAAACTGATGATCTATAATCCAGAAAAATCGATAATCCGGAATCGCCGAAGTCCTGACGAGTCCGGATTAACGACTTTTGACTGTAATAATAACAAGAGAAGTAAGACTGAAATACAGACTTTTTTAAAATGATAAATTTTGATTTATTCACAAAGATAGTATGTATATATATATATTTTAATTAGCACATTAGGAAAATGAATTACTTAGAAATAAGTAATAATTTGGGAAAATTTGCTAATTTAAAATTCACTCTTTTTCTAATGATGTTCATTTTGGCAGGCATATTTTAAAATAGCAAAATATGGTATATCAAATAATGATGTTAATAGCTTAATACTAGTAAGCATCATACAGAAATTTGAAGCATCTATACAACTGATTCCCTTGTAAGAAGTATATGAAGAAATCACATGAAAGGAAAAAAGTTTGCTTGGTGAATTATGTAATATAGAGCAGTTCTGAATGTATAAGAAAGTGAAAAATAGTTAAAAAGAGGCTAATTCCAAGTATGAGAAAATTAAAATTTATTGCAAAAATATATTTATGCATATTATCTATAGTAGATCTTTTATTTCCTGATAGATTTCAAAATCTGTGTAAAAGTTGTGAATGGAGTTTTCCTATTATACTCAAAGATATACAAATTAAAAATTTCTGGAAATGTTATTTAGCAGTCTAGAATATTTTAATTTCAGTGCAGTGATATTATGCCTCATTAAAGAGAGCCTTTTATGCAAGTGCAATGTAAGAAACTGCTAATATATATTAATGAGAGTATGAAATTGTCTTGTAGGAAACTATCACATTTAGAGCATCCATAAAGTTTATTTACTGTTGACAGTTACTGAGAAGGCAAATTTTATGAATAATAATTGAATATGGTGGCAATTAATACATTAGGCTAGAATGATTAAATTTGAGAAGTTTGCATTGTCAAAAATAGAGGAAGAAACAAGTTTCCAAGATACTTCTGGACAAGCTAATCTAAAACATATATGTACAAGACTAGAATGACCTTTTTCACCATATTCTTCAATTTGAGCATATGTGCCAAATTTCTGGCGAAGAACTATTTCTTCGATTCACTGCACATTTACTGACTAATTTTTTGAAACCCTTTAATAATCTTTTTATAGATGAAGCTAAACCCGATATCTAAAAGTAATTCTTTTAAAGCATGCACGCATTAAAAGAAATGTTTAATAAAGTAAACAAATAAATACTAAACTTTTTTTTTGTAAATTTTGATACCCTTTAGATCATAATTGCTCTTTATTTCATAAATTACAGTTTCATATTTTTAATTTTATAATTTCTGCATGCCATCTTACCAGATTTAAACTGATGATCTATAATCTGGAAAAATCGATAATCCGGAATCGCCGAAGTCCCGACGAGTCCGGATTAAAGACTTTTGACTGTACTAGAAAAACTGCTTTCCAGCAGGTACAGGATATTGTGTGAAATTTAACAACTCAAGTAGATTTCTGAAAAATTATATTTGATTGAAGAAAAGTATTCAGAGTTGTGCACCTTTGTAAGAAATTTATTAACTTTTCTTTATAATACATAGACATACGGATAGTTGTTTCCAAGCATGAAACACAAGTCATAACATGTACAAAGATAAATTAAGATCTTCCAAATTTTCTCTGATTATGTTCATTAAGTATTAATATTAAAAGCCTCATGACCAAAATACAGAACAATTATCTTTCTAGAATTTTAAATTGAGCTGGTTATTACACAGTGATAATATTTCGAATAATAATATTTATAATCTGTTATTGTTTTGGTAATTTCATTTTCTTTATTTCCCATTTTTTACCTTTATTAACTGCATTATTTTACTTTCTCTAAGTATTTCAGTTAATAATGTTATTATGATGCTCTTAGTTTTTAATAAATAAAATTTTATAAAAAAATATAATTAATATAAATAAATATAAATAAAATTTTTATATAATTAAATATAAATAAAATTTTCTCTTTTCTTTGTATCTTAAATGTATTTTATGTAATTCAGCCATTGATTACACAAGAGGATTCTAATTTGTCTTTAGAAGTAGTTCAAGTTGTCTGTACCTGATTTAAGTTTTTTTTTTTTTTTTTTTTTTTTTTTTTTGTAAATTTCTCAGCAAGCCAGTATTTATTGCTATTAGTTTTTTTATTGAGTATATATTTTATTGGTGTAAAGCATGTTTTTTTCATTCTTATTAAATAAGGAGTACTTGTAAATGTAAGTTATTATAATTCATCGATTGCCTGTATTTTATAAAATAATTTTCATTTTTAAGGGAACAAGAAAACAAGGTAGTGGGACGTTGTACTAGAAATTTTATTACCTTCCCAGATGAAAATACCATGAAAGAATATTTCAATTTTGAAAAACCTAAGCCTGCAACTAAAAGCTCATGCATTGTCACACGCATGCCTGCAAGATATTTTGATCCTTTGACAAAACAACCATCAGCAAATCTTACTGCATTTCGAATTATTCGTGAAGCTTATTATACTCAGTTAGAGAAGAAAGTCGATTCTCGACTTCCTCATGTTGCAAAATGGTTAGAATGGAGAAAACAGATGAAAGCAGCAAAGCAAAGCAACAAAAATATTAAAACACATTAAAATGTTTTTAAACCGGTGCTCTGAATATATAAGATGAGTATATATTTATAATAATACATGTATGTGTTTGTTTATCATTAAATATGATTGTTTATATTGCTAAGTTGTTTTTTTTTTAATCAAAATAACTCCACCAGCATTTAAAAAAAGCGAATATAAGATTTATATGTAACATTGTGATAATATATACAAAATGAGATTTTTCTAAAATGTCATGCTGGACCCCCAGTAGTTTGATATAAAATGAAAGATATATTCAAATATCAAGTTGTACAAGTTGTGTAAGCAATTTTTTTCAAAAGTAATGTTCAGAACTTTATAATGTTAATAAAATTTTATTACCTTCCACCTACTTATATGCATAGGTTAAGGAGGTAATGTTTTTGGTCAAAAATTTTGATAGTGAATTTTAAATTAAAAAGGCATAAACTAGGGTTCTCTTAATGTTTTACTATTTGTAGAATGATGTTTATGTGTATGTGGGTGACAATTTTTTTGTTCACATATAAAACTTTCAGAAATTTTCATTTTCCATATTTAAGCTTTCTGCATTTATATATAAAGTTGATTAGATTTTGAATAAAATTGAATAACTGAAAGTAGTACTTTATATGAAGCCCATAACAGTTTTTAAAGGACAACCAGAAGTGGTATCTTAGTCGAGGCCCATATACATTTTAATGGAAAACTATATTAAAATATAAACGAAAATGTTCCAATTCTAACATTTAAAACTTTTATATAAAGGGGAACAACATATTAGATTTTGACTTAAAAAGTAATATACTGAAAGTGATACTTTACTTGAAGCTCTGAACAGATTTTCATGTATATAATATATGTATTTCATGTATAACACATTATATTTATAAGCATTAAATATATTATTGGAATTATGGCATATTCAAAAAGAATAAGCTCATTATGAAAGTGAACTTTTATTATAAAACAATTAAATGTACTGGCATCTTAATTTTGTATCTTTTTCACTTGTGTCGAATCACTTCAAATAAAAGGATGATGCTCCCTAATGTTATCACTGTGTATTATTTTTAAAGAAATAATATAGCAAATATATAAAAAAATGTATGGCAACACATAAACTGTATTGATAATTCTAAAGATATGCTGCTTTAGATTCTGCAATTTTATTGTTGAATTTTTTGTGGCATTAGCATGGAGCCTTAAAATTTTTAAACATATTAGATTTTGTTGAAAGTGATATTTAATAAATAATGCTAAAATGACTAATAAAAAAAAGTCAGTTATCTTACTAAGGAAACTGAACATTGATACCATAAACTCAAAAAAGACTGACAAGAAATGTATGGCAACACTTTATCAGATATTCTAAAGATATGCTGCTTTTAAAAATTTTGTGGTTGTTAAGTCATTTGATTTGTGAATTTGAAACACTCTATACCAAAGGATATACTATCAATGCAATATTTTCAAATAAAAGCATGAGAACAGATGTTTACATGAGCACATATAGTTATTATTTCCCAGTGTATGGGAGAACAGAAAAACAATTATATTGAGCCTTAAAATTTTTAAACATATTAGATTTTGTTCACAAATAATCAACCAGTTCCACATTTTAAATAGAAATAAACTTTAAAGTATCACTTGATATTTTATGTTTTTACTTGAAACATGGAACTTGTAGGATGTCATGTCCTGCCCACATTAGATATTTTTTGTTTTAATTTAGTTATTCAAAGAATTTTAATAGTAAAAGAGAAGATTTGGGGTCTAAAATTTCACATATAAACCTTATTTTTGCTATGTCAGCTTAACGTATGCATTGACAGAGTTAAAATGTGAAAATTTCTTTCATAGATTCCTTTTAATCATATTCTTTGGCATGATCTTAGCCATTTAGTGCAAGGTTGGGCAAAAACCAGAACGCAAGCCTTTTAGTTGTTTAATCTGGCCCATTAAGAAATCCTTTGGAACAACATTTTCATATCTTTCCTATTTAATTTTGTTCTCTACCGAAATCAGCAACTTGAGTGCGAATCTCTTGTTACAGTGTATATGTGCATATACAGGCATGGGCCCACCAGTGGCCGAGCGGTAAAGTCGCTGAACACTGGTAGTTCAGTCCGAGGTTCGAATTCCGCGAACGGGCTGGCTGCATGGGTGTTTTCGTAGTTTTCCCCATGTGTAACGTGTATACGAGCCAGTTTCCCTTAGAAAGTCCTCCACGAAGGCATCCCTCCCATTAGGCAGATAGCCCTAGTGTGCTTTGCCATAATTAAATACACCGTATACAGGCATGTCTATACTAGTGATCAACTGAAGTTCAAAACACTAGATGTGCTATAAAGTATTTGTATCTGCCAAAGAATATAGCCCTATCATTTCTAGTAGGTTTTAATATAGAAAATAAAAAATAACATATGAATATTGTTGAAATAAAAGACTGATCAGAAAAAGGAACTTAGGAAAAGACCACTTCCACCTCCAAATATTTATTTGAAAATAAAACAGTATATGCGTTCTAACCCAAGTCATCCAATCCATCTTGATAGATCTGGTTCACATTCATAATACAAAATCATGATAAGCTTAACAGTGAGACAAGTTTTATATTTGTATTATTTGCAATTAATGTATCAGGCAAAAGTAAGCATGCATCCAAATGAGTTCTTTAGAGTAAGGCATTTAGAATGAGTGTTTGAAGTGAGGTGACCAACAAAACAATGGCATATTTGATCCAGTGATGGAGTGGATTACTACTGAACTATTGGGCATATATTTGTATGCCAATATGATGGAGCACCATCTTGCTGCATAATGAAAACGGGAACAACCACTGTGATATCATTTTGATTAGCAGTGTCTCTAGGGGCGATTTCATAACTAGATGATTTTTCACTGTTGCCAGAAGAAACTTATATACTTGTAGTTAATTTGTTTCGGCTTAAAAAATCAATTACAGTATTTGTATTATGCTATTCTTTTTGTTGCATTAAATATGAAACAACCTGTACTGTAACAACAGGAAATCAAATTTCAAAACTGGAAGTCTACGTGGCAAATCTCCAACATGTTCCCTTCTACCTCACTGCATTCTGGAAACAATAGGGGCACCACAGAATATTGCTGCAGACCTGCCTGTATGATGCACTAAAAAAGACTTTTTTTGGTTTGTGTTTTTAAAAGTACTTGCATACCCGATTTAGTGTGAAGAATTGCAATCCCTTTTCATTCACAAAATGGATCTCAAATTACATATTTACTCTAAGTCATGTTTCTGAATAAGTAACTGGAAATAATTCTATCATACCTAGGAATTGCCTAATCACTATTCAATAACAAATGCAATGTATAGGAATTGATTTAGAAAGCTAGCAGGCATGGCCAAACTACGGTTCGTGACATCCTCAATTACAGTTTGTGACCCTTTTAGTGAACTTTATAAGTGACCCTTTGACTCCTTAAATGTGATATGCATGTAACAAACACTACTTTATTTCTGACATATAATTGTATTTTTGTAAATCATGCAATGGCAAATTCCTTTTACCACCAAATTCATTTTTTTAAATTAAATTGTGTGCCATATACTAATCATCAGAGTAGCTAGCAAATTGTCAAATAATTCCATTTCTGTGAATTACTTTTATGGCCTTGTCACTTTTAGAGTAGGTAACAGATATCGTGAGAGCACAAAAGAAAAAGTATGAAGATCATTTAAAAAAAACTTTTTCTCCTTACTTTCTGCCCCCTGCTTTTCATTATCAGCATCTTGGAAGATTTGAAATTCCTAGTAAGGTACTCTTTTATTCAATTTTAAGATGGCTTGGGTAATCACTGAAAAAAACCTCTTTGAGGAAGAAAAAAATGCTTCCATAGAGAAGCTCTTTCAGTTTGGGCAACAGTTTGAAGTTCAGTGAACTCTCTATAAATATTACTGCAAATGAGATAAAACTTCACACATGTACTTAATCAACAGAATCTTACCATGTACTGATGAGCATTAACATTCAAAGCAAATAGTGCATTCTTAAGAAAATCAACTTGGTTTTGTGCATTTTCATGAACATTTTTTCACTGCCACTTGCACAAATATGTTGCTGTTACACTTTTCCATATGGAATTCTTGTCATTTTGATAATCCTTGACACAGATCACTGTTTACATCTATTATGATTTATTAGAATTTTAGGGTTCAGTCACAGAGAGGATGGACTGACAATAATTACAATCCTGGTTCAAAGTATGTAATATATGCTCTGTCAGTAGTTTAGTAAGAGATATTTGCCTTGAAGAAAGATGAAAATAATTTTTTCACTTTCATCATCTTTGTTTCACTAACATTGCACTATTCAGGCTTTTCTGTTCACAAGCCAAACAGCGAATCACTTACCAAATATAAATTTTTCTTTTCTATGAAACTTTTGTCAAAATACAACACATTGATGCTGGTGAGCCTGTGACATTTTCTGGTATATTGCCTAGATGATTTTTTTTTTTTTTTTTTTCCTTTTCTAGTAAGTTCCAAACGTCCTTCATTTGTTGATAATTTTCCTCTTTCTCGTCTTTCATTATTTTGAACTCAAGACATATCATGAAAGAAATAGACCAATGGAAGAGTGTTCGCTATTTGATCACCATAAACTTCACATAGTATACTGTAAGAAATATAGTGGTGTTTTGCAATGTAAACTTCTAGTTTTGAAAGATGAATTTTAGTTTTCTATAATTACAGTATTCCAGTTCATTGCTAACTTTATTTCAAACATTCAACACTTCTAAATGCCATACTCCAAAGAAATCAAATGGATGCTTGTTTCTGCCTGATATCATCAATTACAAATAATATAAATATAAAACCCTGTCTCACCATTAAGACTTATCAAGAATATAAATGAGACTTCTTATTAGGAATGCAAAGTGCATCTATCAAGATAGATTAGATCTGTGGTAAGGCCATCAAATTTTAAATCTAACTGACATAATATCAAAGAGCTTATAATAAAAAATATGATAACATGAAAGAAAACTAAATAGAAGAATAGGAATATATTTATATGTAAAATATAAAAAATACAATGGCTTTGCTCTACGCAAACAGACAACCTCTAATTAACTGTAATTTCAGGATCTTCTCCCTAGACCAATACTTTCGACAACATTCGGGCATGTTACATAACCGCTGCATAAATGAAGTGTTCGCGCCATTTTTTGTTATACTGCTTTTCTCCACCTGCCAGTGTAACACCATTTTGCTGCCACTCTTATCTTTCATTGATTGAGTAGTATGATGCAGTAAATGTAAAGCTAATCGTATTCAGTCAAAATTACTATCACATATGTAATCTTGAATGATCTGCCATTTGCATTAAATAAAGATATAGAGCTAAAAACTTAAATTCTTTATGTCGTCATTGGATTACACTCAGCTAAAAAAAAATGTCCTGATTCTAATGCCCAGCTTTGTCACTTATGTGCCCGACTGCCAGAATATTACATATATATAATCAAAACAAATTTTATTGAGTTATGCAAAGAAAAAATATAAATTGGTATAAAAAATTGAGAAAAATGTAAATTATTATATCACAAGATACTAATAAAAATTGAAATCTCATGGAAAAATTATAATTTTTAAAATTTTTGTTTGGCTTTTAAATTTATTTTTATAGTACTTTTTAAATAGTTTCTCCATAACTTTGGAGTAGATCTGAAATATTAGCGTCTGGCCTGTAACATGAACATGTACATTACAATGTACATGTAATTTCCTATAATGCATTGAAAAATGCCTGCAACTGATGAAAGCTTGACTTACATAGCTACCTGAAATATAACTTCTGTAAAGGTTTTGGCAGAAATATGGGTCTGAATCTTCTTTTACTTGACTGATCATCTCATGCATTCTGCCATTTAGTTACACTTCGCTTAGCTTATAAAATATCAGTTTTTTTTACCAAGTTAGTATTGGAAGTATTAAAATTATTCATTCCATTTTCATCACTCTCTTTGCAGAGTTACTTTCACGAATGTCATTTTTAAATAGCCTAA